TAGCGGTGCATTCTTCAGCCCAAAAGGCATTCTGAGCCATTGAAAATGGCCGAACGGGCAAACAAAATCAGAGATCAGCTTCGCCCTTTCAGTCATCCGCACCGCCCAGAATTCACTTGTCATATCGAGACTCATAAACCACATTGCAGACTTGAAGGCTACCAGCAATCGACCAAGGGTAGAGGGTAGCGAGATATCTTTATGAGCAGATTCAGCAGTCGGTAGTCAATACACATTCGGATGTATATGCTGTTTTCTTCAATAGAATCACAATAGGTGATGACCACTCGGACTCTGAATGCTCAATGAGCTCTGCCTCCAACAACTTCTTCAGGAGTTCGAACACCTTCACCAAGAAAGGTGCGGCAATCTGTCTCGCTCGTAACGCCACTGGTTTTGCTTCACCAACGTCGATATCACACACTACGCCCCTAGCCGGGGCCGGAGTGCATTGCCGTCTCCCAGGAAGATGCTGCGGTGGCGTTTCAGGATCCCTCTCATCTTGGCTTCCATCTCTGAAGTTGTGACTCCCGGAACTCCGACATTAGCTTCGTCGATGTTACATTCTCGGGTCAGTTCCTCAATTTCTGGGAGCATGATGAGTTGGGCTCTTAACTGCGCCATCAAATCACTTCGTTCCCTGAGATATACGGCAGGTTCCAGGTCCAGTTCTTCGGCAGAGACTCGCATTACCCGAGCGTATTCTGCCTCCAGCCTTTGGACCGGTGTCGAACAGCTCGTCTGTGACTGGGCGTCCACTGACGGTTCAGGGACCTAAGCGTCATTCTCAACATCTGTCATACTCTCTGGACCCAGAGTCTCGACTTCCGGACTCGAGTCAGGATGGGTCTGTTCTACCGGTTCAGGACGGGTCTCAGGCTCCTCGGGGTCTCCCGCGACCGTGTTCATGACGACCGCGGAATTCCCAATGATCTTGAGTGTCATGTCCAATGGTTTCGGTTTTTCTTGCAACTTTACCATCTTCACTTCAGCGACTTGGGACTGTGGACGCATCAAGAACTTAGTAGGCCACTGATATCTCTGAGTCTGGGTGCACGGAGGCTCCTTTTTCCTGAGGATCTGCTCTAACCGCTCAGCACGCATCCTTGCTTGGCGTGACACGGTACACTCATGGATTAATTGTTGCCATTCTTCATACCGCGCTTTACC